CAGAGATTACTGAGGCTCAGTCCAAGCTTGGAACTGAACACACTCTCTCATATAAACAAGGTGGATTTACATGTGGGTATGGGTGTATACTGAGCTGTCTGTGTAGACACACTTTGAGGTCTCTGGAGAATAAAGGATTCTTCTCAGAGAAGAGCAGGAAATGGTATAACCAACAGGGACAGCAGCTGGGAGGCTTTGCTGACCACTGAAGGTGCAAATGGTTATTACCAGTGGGAGCTGCAGGTTTCCCTGCTAGATGCTCCAGGGTTGGAGACAGAGAAGGAAGCTCTGTCTAACAATTCCTTGGGAAGCCTCTCCAAGGAAAACCCAGCTCCTTGGGCTTATCATGGGCCCTGAGAATTTCAGCCAAGCTGTGTACTTTCCATTAGCCTGTTGACAATTTCAGATGTTCCTTTTCAAACAAGCATGGGCTATACCATTTTTAGATAACCTGTGCTCAAAAACTCTGGAATTTATCTCGCCGCTATAAAACAATTACTTCCCACTAACACTCAGGCACACTAATTATTAATTTGCACTTGCAAACATGACGTGTGCCAGAGTCACCTATTCTTTTCCCATCATTGTGAGTGGAGTCTTTGACTCAGTATCAACCACACAGGAAACAGCACAGGAGGAACACTAAGATGCCTGACTCAGACGTCAAAGCACCCGAAAGAATTTATGTTTAAAATGTGGCTCTGTTGAGGACATACACTAGTAGGAATGGAAGAGGCTTGTTGTAAAACATATATTTTAGCTTCAAGCATACAGAGTCAAATTCAGAGCTAGCATCACCGCCAACTGGCTTATTGTCCTTTGCATGTCTTTTGTAATCCACAAGGCATCAGATTTATGGAAAGCTAAGGAGATATTTTCAACTCTCTCACTGTCCTAAACATTGACCTTGTGCCAACCCATGAGAGCAATGCTCTCATCCTGCTCTCTGGAGCAGTGTGATTCTGTCCCAGAGCCTATGATCCGTACAGGCCTTTGCGTCAAATGGTGGTTGGATTAGTGCAGTTCATGCACTTGACAGCAATCCCATCACAAAGGTTCACATCTCGTGCACCATGCCATATGGCTCTGCAGACACAGCACAGCGTGTTTGGCCTTACAGGTAAGGAATTAAATGAGGCGTGCGGTCCAGGAAGCGCTACTGTTTTCTCATAGTCGCAGCCCAGTGCCTGAACCTCTCTGATACCTGAGAAATGCAGATTAAGTGCACTGCCATGGCTGCTCCGCTGTCCTGGAAGCGGAGTTTGGAAGTTAAATGGGTACAGATCAAAGGAAGAAATCAACGTACACAAAATCTTCTCTCACCTTCCAGATGCCATTCTCTGCTGGACATGAAGCCAAGAAAGAAGATCTTTTTTCTTTACATTTTTTCTCTGCCATCAAAACCACATTTTGCCCTGGCCTTGCAGTGGGTTGCACTTGGGCCTCGTTACAATTGAGCATAGACTATTGATTCGGGTTGCAGATAGTAATCAGTCCTTTTCTACCAATGGCTTTGTCATCACCATTTTCAAAATCACACACTTCTTCCTACTATAATACACTGCTAAGGTTATGTATTCTGTGGAAGTTAAAATTTTAAAACCAAATACAAATAACGATTTCAAAGACAAGTAATGACTTCAGTTTTAAAGGCAACACTGATGATGAAACAGTCCTGGAAATCTTCCACCACATGGGATTATCTTAGAATTTCTACAAGGAAAAAACCCAATTCTGTGTCAGAAAATGAATGAATAATAGTGGTTATATCCCTGTGGATGTAACACATTTAAAAATGTGTTTTGTAAAGGCTTAAAGAAACACCAAAAATTTGCAACTATCAGTCTAAACTGTTATTTTTGTATAAACTTACTTAACATTTGGGCAGATTCCCAGCTGGTGTATACTATCATAGCTGCAGTGCACAATGAGGCAGCTATATCAATTACATTAGCTGATTCTCTGCTTGCCTCTGTTCACTCCTCAGCCTTTAAAGTGAGGTGAGCAGAATAGAAATTCCTCAGTCAGTTCTTTCTTTGCAATACTTCTTCCAGAATTAAGTGTCAAAATCCATGCATTTGAATATATTAAAATCAATCTTTATGTTTTATCCAGCAGTTATAATCAATTCCAACATTTTTTGTTTTATTTCAAATGCTGTTAAAGTTCGGGTCTACTCTCTCTGTGCCGTGCAGTGTTAAGAGATTCACAGTGTGACTTTTAAGGTCCAGAAGAAAAGTAATCTAAATTCTTCACAACAATGTTGTTTTGTACCATATTGTTTTCTTTTGGGTTTTGTGTGCAGCGACGGCCAAAAGAGTGACATAAAAAAAAAGGCACCTTAACTAGCAGATCTGTTTCCTGTGTGTCTTTGAGTCATATTCTCCAACTCTACTGGCAAAACCAAGTTTTTACAACTGCTAGCACTGTAGCCAGTACAGTTCAAAGCACAAGTTGCAGCCTGGATAACATACAAACACTGTCATCTAAGTCCCACTTATGAAATCACTGTCACTATCACTAGCGATAGCACAAGAAGCAGAAAGCATGAGTTGATTATCAGACTGGGTTTGAGTTTTCAGAACCCTTAGATAGGAAAAAAAATCAACTTCTGATTTACAAATGAAGCTTAAGTAGTATCTGATAATATGCAGAATATTTATAGACGATAAAGAAATAGGAAACCTATGCAATCAGTTTCTTTACTATGACCCAATTTCTAAGAAGACAATGAATACACTTTGAAATGAACTAATCTGTTTAAACAGGAGAAACAGAATATAGCAACAGATAAAAGAGAGTAGCTGCTATGTAGTTTGTCATCGCCCATGCAAGTTTTGCTACATGGAAAAAGCAGTGCTAATCAATGATGTGTTTATTGGCAATAAAACAGCAAAATCAGTTGCTGTTATTTTTGTGCTCTCGAGCATTTCTTAAAAAGTTCTTATTTCAGAATCACTTTACCAGTCAGAAACGGAACTCTGAAATACACAAACAGTCCTTCCCCACAACTGCCCTTCCCCCTGCATCCTTTCCTCAGCCCCTTTTAATCTGGACAGCAAGTATTAAATGTGGGATTCACCGAAGGCAATAGTGCAACTCCTATTGTATCAAGAGGCTAGGATTTTCACCTAACTATCCACCATTGTATAATTCAGATTTTATCGGAGTGACTACTACTTCCATAGAACAGCAACGCAAGTACCTGTAACACAATGCTTAGCTTACTTTAATACTCCTTTGTGCCCGTGCATAGAACTTCCACGGATCTCAGCTGTGTCAAGGCTCAGGACTGGCAAACCTGTAGGAGCAAACAGCATTACTGAGCTCGGTGTGCTGCTCACACTCCATGAATCGCTCCCGGGCTGCAACGCCTGCACTTCAGCCTTCTCACGCTGGCTGGAGTGCCCATGAGTGCAGGAGGAGAGCATTAGTCTGGTTAACAAATCAAGTAAACTTCTGGCTACTTTTTACCCTTTTTCTGACACTGCCATAAGTCAGTTACATTTTTACAAACACATTATAAAGAACATATTCTACTGGCAACCGAAAAGAAAAAGATGAAGCAGCACCCCTGTGGCAAAAGCAGAGAGTCAGGAGATCTGGATACTTTTCCTGGCTTCACTTCAGACTTCGTGACTGACCTTGGCAAGCCAGATACAGGCAAATCTCACTTCCTTCTATATGTGCAAAGGGTCCTGCCTGCTACCCAGAGAGAGCGACTCCACTACGAGTAGGCACCAGCTGAGCATATACATACATGGACATGTATGTACATACAGAAATACAGATCACTTGCACAAGAGGCAACTATTCAAATCCAAAATTCCTGTCGTTGACACAGAGCAAGGCGTTAGCTTAATTTGAGAGCAAGGAAGGAAGATAAGATGCCATGCAAGTCTATTGGGCTTCTCCTCCTGCAGGTCAGGTGTTGTGGAGCATTTTGTAGTCCTGAAGATGAAGTAACAGACAAGCAACTTATTTATTGGGTAGCATACAAAGGCTATCTTTCCTTGCTCACATCTCTAAAAGTGAGGAAAATATTACCTACATTGTAGGATGGATTTCAAGGCTAAGCTGGTAAATATTTGTAAGAGACATAAACTTTGTCAGATAAACTATGCTTTAGAAAGACTAAATGTTATCACTAGGCTGACAGATCTCCAGAGGTGCCAAGTTTCTACAAATCTCACCAGATTTACTTTTTTTTTTTTTTTTTTTTTTTTTTTTCCTAGAGGCTCATATTTTCTCTGTAAAAAACCAGATTTGTTTCTAAGCCATCTATATGCTGAATAAATACAAGTTATTTCTCCTTCTCACTTTTAATTCATAATTAGATCTACTCATAACTATACTGAGATCTTCCTTGTACACTTAGAAATGATAGTGCAGAGTAACGACTGGATACATGAAGCATATTTTGATAGCCCAGGCTTCCACCCTTCTCCACCAAATGAACAGAGCACCCAGTTGGTATGGAAGTGCAGTGCTGGGACACTTTCTGGGCGCTGGACTGCAGCAGGTGAGAGCTGCTAACACCAGCCTCAGCCCCCCAGGTGTGAGGTCCTTTCTTTACCACACACTATCTTCTGGGTTGGCCAAGTCCAAGAAAAGAGAGGACATGCTCTGGCGGAAGCCCTGAGGACCAAACCCTGGCCGCCGCTGCACAGCAGACACGCTCCTGGAACTACACGTTAGTGTTCCCGCCGCTGGCTGTGCGCGGGCAGCAGGGCCTGGCCCCGCGTCCCTTCTCCGGCCGAGGGCTGGCTGCCCAAGGAGGAGACGCTGCCATTTCTCCAGCGGCTTCCTCCCCTCTGCCCCACGGTGCTCCCCGACACCCGAGCTCCCCGCCCCGGCTCACACCGTTTCTCCTCCCGCTCCCGGCCCGGCCGCCCCGGGGGTCCCGCAGCTCCCGGAGGGCCTGTTTAGGAG